GTCATAGATTTCACCCTCCATAAAGCCAAAAACAGGTTTATATCAGCCAACCAAATATTAAGATAAACTGGTCTAAACTTAATATTAACAATTAAAATTTGGGAAAAGTATAAAAAATCTAATGTAGAATTAAAAAATTATATTAGATTATTACTACAAAAGTTAACATTTTCCTAAACTGAAAATCTGTTTCTGATAGATACCTAACTCCACTCACAAAAAGCTTTCGCGACTTGTGCTGACCTCTATTAGCACAAATTTGCACTCGCCACTTTTTACTGCATATTAACATACAAATGATCATGCAGCAACCCTCCACCAATAGGAGTGCAAAATTATCACTATCCTAACTAACGCCCTCTATAATTATGCACATGTTAATCACATCGAGATTGGTCATAAATAACCAAAGCAAGTCACACCAACAGTGGGGAGGATGGGTGGGAAATGTGAGAGGAGGTAACTATCTATCAGAAATACATTTTCAGTTTAGGAAAATGTTAACTTCTGATACAATATCTTACCTCTACTCACAAAAAACTAAAATCCCACATCAAACTGGCAGAGGGCTGGTGAGAAGATGAAATCCCTTAAGGAAGCACCCAAAGGAAGACCATGAGGTGTGACAAGGAATTAAAAATGATACACCAGTGAAAGACCACACCACTTCTGAGCCAGGTATACTCTTCACCCTTTAGTAATGTGTCACCAAAATATAAAGGGCAGGAACTTGGAGAGGTCCTAAAAAAATACAGAAATAATGGGATCCCCTGGTGTAAAAAGGCAAGGGCATGACAGACCATAAATAGAAGTTAGACCTCAACCAACACCTGGAATTGTGCATCAGGTCCGTGGTAGGAAGAGGGTCCTCTACCTTTCACCTCAAAAACAGGTACCAAGAACCCATCTCCACATGTGTGCACAACCAATACCATATTCACCTGGAACTGACATCTGACAGATGGTAAGAATTAAGGAGAGCTCAGGAGGCATTCATCTCAGGTCCAAAACCTGGTGGCAGTGAGAATGCTACATCCAGTTCGTGGTAGGAACAGGGAATCCAGTCTTACATATGCAGGCAATCATGTGTTTAATCCAACTTCAAATAACATCAGATCCACCAGGAACTGACATCCAATGAACAATAGGAAGATGAAGAGGGACCTCAATTTGGGGTAACATCTCCAGTCCAAAACCTGGTGGCACTGGGAATTTATCATTTAGTCCATAGTAGGAGGATAGTACCAGCCAAACACATGTGAGGATTTATATGGCTGGACCATCTCCAACCAAAACCCAATCCCCATGCACTAACATCTGGAGTATGATAGGAAGGAGGGTATCTCAGCCAGAGGGGCAAACTGCATATATATATATATATATATATATATATGGTGGAATGCTACATTCAACACCTTGCAGCATCTGGAATTATACACTCACAGAATCCACCTCCCAGTCTCAAACTGAGTGGTATTGTGCACACTCAGGAGGACAGGCTTCCATGGTCCACAACTCCAGTTGCAAGGAACTGATAGTGGCAAGAACTCCCATACTCACCTAGAAGAAGGAGGAAAAAGTATGTAGGAGAGTTCAGAGGACTGCAGCACCAGATACCCTATTTTGAAAATCAGAGTGACCACGTTGACAGAGTGCATCATCCAACACCTGGCAGTGTCTGGAATTGTACATCAGAACCCCGGTAGGAATAGCCTCAAACAACATGGATCATCAGAGATGGGTAGTAATCTCTGTTTGCATTACTCATGTTAATCCATAACTGAATGGTCTGAGATGGACATATTTATGAAGCAAAAGACCACGAGGTATATTTACAAGTAATCCTGTGGAACACCTTATCTCAACAGTAGCCATAATATGACCTGGATAAGTGTTATGAAATTGTATTTTGAAAGCATAGAGAACACACTGACGAAGTCAATCAACCAACACCTGGTGGCCTCTGGAATGGTACATCAGGTCCGTGGTAAGAAGAGTCTCAGCATCAGTCATCTAGCATGTTCACAGATTATACAGTGCAGATTTAAGACTAAGTATCTCTGATCAGGCAACACTCTCCAGAGAATGGGATCCAACTATGTGATATAGGCCCCTGCAAAAAAATGAGTGGAGTACTTACTACCACAGACAAACAGTTACCACACTGATGAGGTCCCCCATGGGAAGAAGGAAATGTGTAGCCAGGGACATGGTAACATGACAGATCTGATGGGAAGAAAATGCCAGGCAAAAGGAACAACTGAAGAGAGCTCTGACGAGGCAAAGGAGATGGGTGGGATCGGAACAGTTATAAAAGTGGGAAAAGGAGGGAAGGGAATGAGATTGTGAGACAACATGGGAGTTGAATGGAAATAGAGGACCTGTTATACAGCAGTGACTTTCAAAACACATGGATCAACCTCCAAAAGTGGATAAATTGAAGGAGTTTGGGCCCACCAACCCTAATTATAGAAGGTTGATCAGAGTAAGACAAATACACAAAAATGTAATTGAATTATTAGGGTCTGATCCCCACAGCATGAGAAGTGACACCAAATGTTGTGAGTCCAAATAAGGGAAGTTGGAACGATGATAATGAAAAGCATGATCGTCCCCCAAACGCAAATGCTCCCCACCCCCAAAAAAAATCTCGCCTGAACTCCAATATCCGGGGGAGGAGGAAACACTAAATAATGACTCAAAGGCTCATCACCGAGAAGGGCAGAGGTTAAACAAAGGAAATGGGAGATAAGTACAGAACATAACATACCTGGATAACAAATCCCCCAGAATGACACATAACTAAACAGCATATTCAGGAGGGAGAAAAAGGCTGTCCAAATCCAAAACTAAAAGATCACTGAAAACCTTGTGAGGATAATCATCAGTGTGTTCTGATTGTTACAGGAAACTGGTAAACTCCTGAAGGATCAGACCTGTCACTTTCTGGGCTGTTAAACACGATTTCAGGCTGTTACACCTGGTCAGTAATTCTGCTGCTGCAGTAAGAGCAATCGTTGTCCTGACCACTCACAATTGCGAGTGCATAATTTCTTTAATTGAAAGAGGAGATAAGATAAAATAAAAAAATACGTAACTCTCTAAGAAACAGAATGAGTGTGTGTGTGTGTGTGTTTTCTTAGAGCAAAGTCACATCTGGCTGTCTGCTGTGTTCACTTAGGGAAATTGAACCCCTGATTTTAACATTGTAAATCTAAATCAAACCCCTGATTTTAGCAGAAAAGAAAACAAAGAAAACGTAAAATAACAAATTAACTGAAGTAGAAATTCATGAAAGCAAAAATATTTGGATAGGTTAATTAAACTGCAAGCATAAAACACATCTAATCAGTAGGACTGCCAATCAAGAAGTGATTAACATGTGTGTGATTAGAGAGGGTGCTAGTTACTATAGGGGTAGTGTCACACTCCTATTGGTGAAGGGTTGCTGCATGATCATTTGCATGTTTGTATGGAGTACTAAGTGGGAATAGCAAGACTAGTGTTGAGCAAACATTTGTGCCGATAGAGGCCAATACAAGTCAAGAAAGCTTTTTGTCAGAAGAGGTAAGATATTGTATCGGAATTAGCTACAATGTGTTTCCTGAATAAACATCTATGTCCCACTATTTATTTCTGTCATATGATACAGTAATAAAATCCAGTCATCTTCATTAATTATGACAAGATATCAATTACTTTCTTTACAAAACCTAATACCAACAATAAGGTTATTAAAACCTAAACTCTTACAAACCAGTCAAATATTTCAAAGCGTTATTCAGTAGAAGATGGCAAAAACAATAATTTCTTATTTTTAATTCTTCCAAAACCATGCTTGACAAAACAAAAATATTTTTAAAAACTTAAAAAATTGTAACTTGTTAAATTTCATAACAAGTATACACTATTATAGATCTCACTCCTTTCGAAAACATCTATTAGAATAATACTCAGGTTTTGTATGTCCTAAAAATGCACGCACACCCTATTATCTAAATGTGCATGCATGCACACTTCATTTAAACAGATGCAAACAAAGGCAGATGTAAATATACTTTAGTAGATATTTTGTACAACATATTAAAAGCTTATCAGGTTTTTTAAAAAGGTTTAATGTTAGCTTGTAGAATAATATTATAAGTATATTTATTGATAATATTAAGTACAATAATGTTTATCCCTAAAGCAAGAAATGTACACAAGTTAGTTAATTTATCACTTTATCGATTATAGGCCATATTTAATAAAGGCTTAACTAATAATAGGCCTAAGACAAGTGGACTTGTAGATTTCAGTGTGTGTGATTAGAATTCTTTTGTTATTCTAGAAATCTTGTACTTAGAAAAGTACTGTTGCAATAAAGAAACTTATTTGACCACAAATAATTTGCAGGTCTCTCTACTAGTTTAACATGAATACTCTTGTGTTATGACGGTTATATTTTAGTCAGTACATGTAATACATGGCAAGTGTAATTTTGTTGAGAATTGCAGTTTAAAGCTTCAAGCAACCTAACAATACTTTTGGAATGTGTAAATCTGAAATAAACCAATCATTAGAAATCTACTACAATGGAATTATTGTTAAAATTGCAAATTTTTGTTTATTTGTTTCAGATATGGACACAAAGCTACAAAATGTCTTTCCTAATTCTGAACTGATAGAGTAGGGAAAAGGTAACTAGTCTACAGTACCCACTGCCAACTTTCTGGCTTATCTAATTGAATAGAGGGATTTGACCATCACATGGATTCATTCCTATAAAGCATCCACAGCCCCAAAATGAGTAGCATGATTTTGTAGCAAATAGATGTGAACCATGGACCATCACATTCACAGTCTTGTATGCTAACCACACCTGGTGCAGAAGATTTTTGGCCTTACTTTTGGTTGATTAATTTTTTTATTTTTAGATTATTTTTAAGTAATTCTAACTACTGTTTTATTTTACCATAAAAAGAAATGTTAAGATACAGGTTGTAAATCCACATAATAAAATCAAATACATCCACTAATGTTTTACCTTATTTTTTCCAAATATCAATACATTATGAGCACCTAAATTCTGATGTATCAGATTCCTACTCTCTAAATATTTCATAGCATCACAGATTTGTAGACTAAAGTCACATAATGTATTAACAGGCAGTCTCTGCTGAAATACTGGTTCTCTTAAACATTCCAGAAGTCCCATTTGTGGAGCTAGCTCTGTCACCTGTTTAAAAAAAGATAAAAATCAGTGATTACAGAAAAGGTTAGAGCTACAGTAACTAATCAATGATTGATTAATTTAAACAGGTTTAAAATTTAAAACTGCCTAGATAAACAATTTTGTTATTGTGCTGTTATTAGAGATACACAGTAAATAACTTAGAAACACATTCCATGTACAAAAAAATAATAATTTACCAAACTTTAAAATATCAAACATAACTGTTATTTATCATATAACACACACATACAAAAATAATATTATGGCACTTAAAAAAACATTAATGATCATATGTACTACATAGTTTTACAACCTTCTTTTAAATAGCAATAATCGCAATGATTAAAGGCTGTATGATGTGTCTGACTAGCCTACAAAATGAAAATTTTGTTAGCACACTATGCATAGACAATTCCAATACAAGCATTAAATTATTGTTTTTGATTAGCCTTACACTACAGTATGCTCAATTAATTATTTTTTCTTACTAATTGACATATCATTACTATGAAATACTACATTTACATAATAAAAGTTATAATTTCCCTATACTGAAAATGTATTTCAGATAGGTACTTATCTCCAATCGAAAAATTTGCTATTTCCGTTCGGTACTGCCCTCTATATGCAAACTTTTTCTTTACGCATACCACAAGCCTTCTGCTCCCCCTATTGGAATTGTAATATTCTAACGTGTCTCTCAGACAAATCATCATGCATCGGTTCACCAATAAGAGCATAACGTGCTTCCGTGATGTATGTGGCTCCCTCTATACTCATATACTAAACTATCACTTCTAAGTTTGGCAGAAGACTTAAGCACTGGAGGAAAGTGGGGAGGAAGGGTGGGATGTGTGAGGGGAAATAAGTACCGTATAGGAAATACATTTTCAGTATAGAAAAATTATTATTTCCTATACGGTACTTTACCTCTCCTCACAAAATTAGCTAGAATCCCACATTGAATAGGAGGAGGGACAGGCATGAGGGAATTATAGAAGTACCCCCAAAAGCATCTGAAGGATATCTCTGTAAATGAGAGTCAGATCACAAGATCAGATGAGGGGAACCACACCACTTCTGAACCAGGTATACTCTTTGCCCCTCTGTGAAATGTGAAGATAAGGGCAAAAAAGGAAAGGAGAACATCTAAGTGGGAGAGAACTGTGTCAGGATCATGATCCTAACCATATTAAATAAATATAACTCAATCCCATGATTAGAAAAGAGGGTAAAACACTGGTTGTGCCCTCAATTGTAGAGTAGCTAGGGTGCAACAGACCATACTCAGTAAGTCAATTACATACAAAACTCATGTTGCTGGGAACCAACATCCATGCAGGGGTAGGATGAGGACCATACTGTCTTCACCTCAAACCCAAGAGACTGTAGGATTTAGAATCATGCCATCTCCCAGGTATAACACAAGTATTAACACTGAGCTATCGATCTGGGGACCTGACATCCAGTAGCTAAAGGATGTCTATCACATGCAATCAACTCCCCCAATCATGAAACTTACCAGAACCGTCAAAAAGACAACAACATCCCCATATTGAGATAGGATGTGGGAGAGCCAATGGACAGAAACATAACCATCCCACATACCACTTCTGTGACCCATAACACAGATGGAGGAAAATCGAGGGAGGAAGATAGACAACCCAAAATGTGTGAGGATTTATGTTGATTGGTTCTACTCTAAATCCAAAACCCAGCCACGGGGTACTGACATCTGCATGGGGGTAGGATGAGGGCTTACAATCAATAGAGTGAGCTGTATTTTGACGTATCACTCCTTCGTAATTATATATCTGAAAGAGGAGAACAGTACATTTGCAGAAAACCACTGCACTATTCTGCACTGAATGGTTATAGCCGTCTTTGTGTGGAAACCATTCAGGAGGGTGCCTCAACCTTTGACCACAGCAGCACATGGAACTGAAAAGTGGTAAGGACACCCATATTCCACTAGAAGAAAGGAGGGTGAAAAGGTGGTGGATAGTCAAGAGGAATGTCATCACCTGAGAGAGTACAATGAGTGACCATGAAACCCTATTTTGAAAAGAAGACCATACCGAGCTATTCACTGTGGGCATGGCAAGGATGGGCAGCTATGCAATCTGGATTACCCATGCAGTCCATAGGTGGTAAGATCCAGGACGTGCATGTTTATGAAGCAAAATATCGCAAGGTTATTCACCTACAAGCAATCTATATGGAACATCCCATCTCAACGGTGAGCATCACAAACCCATGGAATATAAAGCTCAATTCAACATAACTGTACAGTGCAAATTTCAATGGTCAGGCACCACTCGCCACAGAGCAGGACCCATATAAAGAAGAAAAAGGCCCCTGAAAAGGAAAGAAAGTGTGAACAGAAACTTATCAGTCAGAGTCACACTCAAGTCTGACGAATGGCCACAGATGGAAAATGAAAACTTGACAAAGAAGAAACCCTGATATGATGTAGAATGGGAGATGAATGTATTGGGTGTAGTCCACATGCCTGATTGTAGAATCTCCTCCAATGGAAGAAGAAGACAAGAAGCAAAGGAAAAGGTGAGGTGTCTAATCTGATAAGAAGTCACCTGGAACAATTTCCGGGAAGAAAAGATAAGGAGGAATAAGCCAATCGGATAAAATGTCGGACTCAATTGGTAAGTGGAGATAAAGAGTTCAGAACGGGTACCATGGAAGGAAGCTGTATGGACAATATAACAATAAGGAGCCCTGACCGGACACACAAGCCGATTTGGATCTGGTCGAGGGTAAAGATGAGAAATGAAAGGAAGGGAAATAAGCAAAAAGGAGGAGCACCGAGGTCTTTGGGAGGAAGGAGGAATCTGGATAATAGAGAAGATAGGTAGGGTGATAATGTGTATGTGAAATGTTAATGGCAAGCGAATCTGACTGTCAACTTTCACAGGCTAAGAGGAGAAGGAAATATGTTTTGAGGGAAAGGTGAAACATGGAACACAAGTAAAGTGGTTCAAATGGAGATAAAGTGAGGGAATGGAGTACCACATTAATCTCCCAATCCAGAAGGGTAGGTTGCCTGGGAGGAAGATGCAACAGTAAGGAATGTAGTAGCATGGTAAGAACAGGTGAAGTAAAAACTCTAGGGTATCGAGGAAAATGAAAGGTATGGGATAAAGCCAACCAATAACCTGTGTGTGAAGAGACCAAAGACCCCCGGTCAAAAGGTCAGGTGAGAAATTCTGCCACCCGAGCCACAGTAGGCCAGTCAGCAGGAAATCCCCGAGTTGTAAACCAACTGTGGAACACTTTCCACTTACGCTGATACAACTCCATGGAAGAAGGACATATGGAACCAACTAAAATGAAAGCAACTCGATGGGAGAAACCATATCTCTTCACCAAAGACTAGATAAAAGCCAGACATGAAGATGCAGGTTTTGAAGGGTGAGATGTAGGACCAGCGACTGAGGGTGACAGAGAAGATAAGGAGATGACAGAAGAGGTACAGTAGGAGAGAGTAGCAGGTGCTGTAACAGCAGAAACTATGGCTGAGCTGGCCAATAAGGAGTAATCAGAAGGACCCGACAAGGAGTGGTATGGATGAGAGAGATAACCTGATGAAGTAATCCGATAGGAGAATAAACATAGAGATATTTGTGGGATCATTTTGGCTGGAAGTATCGACTGCCAGAGCCTGAGAGACTGGCAACAAAAAGAGAAGTAACTTTTGATTGAGGCTCATAACAAAGGCATCCACGTGGGGAGAACCCCACAGAGTGCAAATCTTCCTTAAAACAAAAGGATCTAAGGATCACTCTATTGAATATATCTGGTCAGGACAGGAAAGACAATCCACAATAAGATTGAAAGCTCACAATACACGAGCTGAATGTGTTGTGTGTGGACCCAGTATAAGAGATCCAACATCCAAAAACATAGATCTCTTGACCATGCGCCTCTTGGTGATTGATATATGCCACCACCATAGAATTGTCTGAATGAACCATCACCAGACAATGTTAGGTGAGAAAAAGGAAGTGATTCGATACCTGACAAACAAGTAGAACTTGGATAACATTGACATGCAAAGCACTTTTGTCAACACACCAACAGCCCGAAGTTTCCTGTTGGTTGATCCATACACCCCAGCCCTGCAGAGACACATTCGTGAAAAGATGTAAATCTGGATGTGGAGGAAAAAATGGCACACCTGCTGAAGTATTTGTCTTGTCCAACCACCAAAGCAGATCGTTTTGCAAGGTAAAAGAAAGGGTAATGGGAGTAGAAAGAGGATCCTACACAAGGTTCCATTGATTGTGAAGAGCTCACTGAAGGGATCTCACATGAGCACGACTGAGAGGGACCATTCATGTCATTGAAGACCACATACCCAAAAGCGATAGAACCTCACAAGCAGGAATTGAGAGGGTATGGCAAACTAGCAATTCCATAGAATAAAGTCTTAAAGGAAAAGGCTGGACCTGACTGATATGAATGATGAAAAGGACCCCCAAATAGCCGAGATTTTGAGTAGGTCTGAGGAAGGACTTCTCCAGTTTGATTAACCAGACCACTCGAGCAGCCACTAAAAGGAGGTGCTGAGTATGGCTGGCCAACTCCAGTTTGGAAGGAGCCAGAAGAAGCCACTTGTCTATGTAATAGTGAAAACTCTACCCCAGAAGATGAAGATGTCGAGCAAATGCTCAGACCACCTGACAGAAAGTATAAGGGGCCAAAACAAGCCCGAATGGTAGTGCTCGAAATTGATAAACCGCCTCGAGATGGACAAACTGAAGATATGGACTAGACTGATGTGATATAGGTACATGGAGATAAGCGTGGCGACATCCATTTTGGTTATCCATAAACTTGGAGAAATTACCCACCTCAGGGTGACAAAATACTCCATGGTAAACAAGGTCAGGTGAACAAAGCAGTTGAGGTGAGATTAAATCTATGACTGGCCTCTAGTCCCTGGTTTTCTTAGGAACAATAAAAAGTCGAGAATAAAACCTCTT